TGATCACTATTGAACTTACATTGTTGCTGTTTTGCAGTCCAAAAAAGTTTTGTCCGGAAAAGAAACCTCCGAGCTGCTGGGTGTGGAAATTTGCGACGATCGGCTCACCTGGTTGCCTTCCCTGCAAACATACGACGACCTCAACCTGTTCCTTTTTTTTTTTGAAACCCTTTCTTCTGAAGAAGTTCGCCACTTTGGGGTTCAAGTACGTTGGATCTGATTGCATAGTAGAGGGGAGGAAAAAACTAAAGCTTGCCACTCAGACTCAGTCAGAGGTTGGCCTGGTAAACTTGCAGGCGTGTTGATCCGGCAACTGTACTGCTAGTCTTGCGCTGCTTGCCGTTCCTGTGTGAGCAGATTTCTTTTCTTTTCGTTTCTTTTTTTTTGATTTCCTTTTCTGCGGCGAAGATTGCATGCATGTGATGGCCTGATGGGGGCAGTGCTAGCTTTGAGTAGCAATTTGCATTCTGCTCTGAAACTCTCCGACCTACTGCCTGATGGGGGCAGTGTTATAAAACTCTATCCCTGTCACTCTTGCCTGATTAGGTGAATTTGTCATGACCCAAGGTACTGGGATGCCCCGTAGGCCGTAGTGGTGGTGTGTGGCCCCGAGTTCAACTAGACCATTCGTTGGGTCCATCTGTCAGCAGCGGTGCACCTGGATTTTCTACCTGAAACCCATGGTGCTTTATACGGGGACTTGGTGACGCTTACAGCAATCAAGAGGCACTCATCTGATCGGAGCACTGAAGAGTTCAACTAGACCACTCTATTCGCCCGTTCTGTTTGGATGGACCAGGATTAATTTTTAGCTAGCTATAGCAATTAACCCTTGGTATCAAAATAGGCCCTAACACAAGAAGTTGACGCCAGTGCAGACCCATTGGGGATCAAATTACCATTGCCAGTAGCCTGATGAAGATGCAATTGCCACAACCGGCGAATGCCCGCGCGTTCAGGGGCCGAAATTACAGCTGCTGGCTGCTGCTAAGTGCTAAGCCAGTGTTCAGAGGTGGAGGATGTGGATGTGGACAGGGGCGGCTACTCCTACACGGCTTGCGTCATGAAAAATCTTTTTTCTAGCCGCCGTCTGTTTGGGTCACATACTCACATGGTTGGGTTACCTCGAGCCTCCGCTTTTAATTTCATTTCATTCAGATCTGAGCACACGAATTTGGCGTGGTGCTCCGACGTCGCGGTTCTCGCGGCCTTTTCAGCCTGTCACCTCGTTTCGTTGGCGCCTACTCCTACGTCAAGGTTTCAGCAACCAGCATGGCCGTCCCAGGTCCTCTGCTCCCTTCCGTTCGGTTCTGGCGTTCTGCATAGCATAGCATAGGAGTTATCGCCAGCCTCGATTCCACAACTCCTAACTTAACCGTGCAACTTGGGTCTTGTTTAGTTGATGATTTTTTTGAAAATGGTATTGTAGTATTTTATTGTTATTTGATAATTAGTGTCCAATCATAGTCTAATTAGACTTAAAAGATTCGTCTCGTGGATTTCGTCTAAACTGTGTAATTAATTTTATTTTTTATTTATATTTAATGCTTCATACATGTGTCCCAAAATTCGATGTGACGAAGAATCTTGAAAAATTTTGTAAAATTTTAAAAACTAAACAGCCACTTGCGCTACTACGGAGTACTCCCAGCTCCTAGCCTCCTAGTCCTAGGCGGCACGGCTCGCTCCTCCATGAATACGATCGGGGGATCGGATGCCTTGGATAGGCTCCAGCCCAAAAAAGAACAAGCCCGGCCATGATTAGATTGTAAATTTTTTAATCCGGATACTGTGGCATGTTTCGTTTGTATTTGACAAACTTTGTCCGATTATGAACTAACTAGGCTTAAAAGATTCGTCTCATAATTTACAACCAAACTATATAATTAATTAATTTTTTTACTTATATTTAATACTTCATATGTCTAAAAATTGACGTAACGAAGAAAGAGTGAAAAAACTTAGAACTTTCATGTCATCTAAACAAACAAGGCCCCCGTTGGCGATTCCGCCTGTCAGGGTATCGCTGACGGCTCGTGCTGTACTACCTGCCGTACGTCTCTCACAGTCTGACTAATCCGCCCCTAGCCAAAGCCGGTTGTCAATGTCACGCTGCAATCGTTGGGACTTGGGAGCGTACCGCTGTACAGCACCTGCTACTACAAAAACGACGATCCGTCGTTCCATCCACCGCAGCGCAGATCTCATATATATATATATATATATATATATATATATATATATATATATATATATATATATATATATATATATGCTATTCTGCAGCTGACCATAGAATAACTTATTCTATAGCCACTTTGATTTACGATAATGTTTATATCAATTTACGATAACATGAATATGCTTACGATACTCGTGTTAGTAACTCACGGTGATATTTACCATAATATTATAGTAAATCACTTAGTAAGGAGTTACTGTAGTCTCGTAAATTAGCATAATAACTATCGTAACTCGAAGTGGTCACAGAATAAGTTATTTTATGACCAGCCATAGAACACACACTCTCTACAATCGCCTAGCACTCCAAGCATCCACTACATCACTAAAAAGCTGAGACTGAGACCGAGGTGACGATGAAGCCGCACTCCCGGCAGAGACCAAGCATCCACTCCATCACTAAACAGCTTGTTCGTTGGTTGGTTTCTGGACTGATAAGCCCGGTTGACGCTGGTTTGTTGTGAGAGAAAAACATTGTTGACTGACTAATAAGCTCTAGCTGAAACCAACAAACGAACAAGCTGTTTATTTCCACCGTCCCGTCAGAGATGGAAACTAATGGTGGGCCCGGTCCGCGGGGTTGCCATAGTGCCACGAATCCTAGCTCATCATCGAGCTGTTTAGCCGATGGGACGACAATTTCTTGACACATCGATGACGCCCCTAGGAGTAGCTCGGTGATGGACATGGATTAGAGTTAATTGTTAAAGAACAACTCTAATAGTCTCTCTTTATATCATTTTCTAATTGATAATAATAATAGAAATTTTAGTGAAAAAATACCTTTCACGCCTTTTTTTAATTAGATCTTTAAATATTATTATTCTCTATTATGAGTTTCTAATTAACCAAAGATAGATAGAGAGCAGAATTAACTCCTTAGAATGCACGAGTGAGACAAGGGACTGCACGAGTAAGACATGGGACAAAAAAATGTACCGAACATGATAAAGTAGATGATAGAATAGTCATTTCATATCCATTTGCTGGTTTTAGCTATCTTTCGTTGGGTCACCTAGAGCTAAAGTTTAGTTGAATACAATTTTGGCGGCTAAAATTTAGTCCAGTGTTGTTCGATACTTAGTTGAGGCTCCATCTCTAAAATAGCTCCCCTTTTAGGATCGCTTCGTACTATAAAATTAGCTGATACCTGTTACTTAGATGATGTAATAGCAATTCTAACCCACAAACTATGAGATGGTTTCTATACTTGTCAAGTTATATATAGAGAGCACACATAGAAACCATGTTACCAATCGAAATAAAATTTTGTCCAATCATGTATCATCTCTCTTCTATCAAATCTATTACATCTCTTTATATCTCAAGTTCTGTGTAGACATCATCTCTCTTCCTCTCTTTCTTAATTACAATGACATATATCACAATTTTGCTTACCGTAATTAATAAAAATATAAATCGTCAAGTTTCTAGGTTAGAAGCGCGCCCTACACATACCCTAAGCTGCCAAAAGATTCATTAATCCCCGAGCCAAAATTTGAGGCCGACCAAACCAAAGAAAGCTAGGGTGGTCTGTGCCGTGATTGACCTCACTGAACATGTGTCCGGCCGGCCGGCCGACCAAAGTCTTTACGACACCGGTAATTATATATGTATTCTTAATCGTACAGCGCGAGCGCAGTTTGTGGTTGGTCTTCAGTCCTCCTTTCATGGATAGACTTCGCTTCACTCTAATCTCATCCTGATGTTTTGTCTGTATGTACTACATGCATCACACTCGTGAATCAAGACGACTATACGCTGGTAGTAGTATATAGATATACTGCTAGCTCGTGTTCACACATGCGTTGAAAATGCTTCTTTCAAAGAAAATAATCTCCATGATACGTAGTACTCAATATCGACGGATTTGTGGATAAATGCAGAGCCTGGAAAGTACAAGCAGAAAGCGAACAAGGGCAGATGCCGCGTTAACATCCGTGAAATTCACTTGCGAGACGCTCGCACCTTGCATTAATGTTGCCGCGACGTATATTGCCGCAGCGTTATATATATACCAATCAAAGTCATCAACATGACTTGACACTGTCATCTACGGGTACTGACAGACTAGTGATTGTTTATCTTCTCAAGCTGTGTTTGATCCATGGCGGGAGCATGCACACGTCCACCTCCGATGAGGCCGCTGGAAAACGCTGGAACTAGCCCCATCCCTACGCAACAATGCAATAGCAACTCAAAACCACTTGGATGTTCACGCATGGCCTGCACTGCACATGTGTAGTAGGTGCATGGTACCGGCCGGCAAAAGTGGCCATCACGGTCGACGCATCGCAGCACGGGTGTGTATCCATCGCCGTCACCTACAGTCGGTCAGTGGATCCGCATCAGCTCAGCTCACGCCTCACGGCAGGAGAGACACGGGTGTGTGTGACATTGTCACCGACGGTCGGTCCAAAATTGTGTTTGTGCAACCTCATCCATCTCTAATGGATAGGCGGATATGCGATAAAGACTCTCATAAAGCTCAAGCTCACCACGTCACATCCGCTGCGCGCGTGATGCGCCGCCCTTCCTGGCCTTCCCGAGCCTCCATGGCTACTAGCGAGGCAGCGACGGAACCTCATCGGCGAGCGTTCCACGTAGCCCATGTCTGTAAAGCGTAAATCGCTTGATCGCCACCAATTTGCACAATTACCTCCATCTCCAGTAGGGTGGTCACTGGTCAGTCGTATGATTTCTGAGCGCCATTTCTATCGGGCCATTGATGGATTGAGTTTCAGGTTCAGCCGTTCAGGTCAGTGCAGGAGGACGTGGAGCGAGGCGTTCTTGGTGGCCGTGCACACGGGGCACGCCTGGACGCCCGCCTCGCACCCGCGGCACAGGCACAGGTGCCGGCACGGCAGCAGCAGCACGCACGCCTCCGCCCCGCCGCACCACCTGCACGCCCTCGTCCGCCCGCCGCCGGACGCCTCGGCGTCCTCGCCCTGTTCCTGCTCCTGCTTCCACTCGAAGCAGCATGACTGCGCGTCCTCGGCGTCGCCCTCGGCGCCGGCGCGTGGCGACTGCATGAGGTTGTCGAGCGCGGCGCGTAGGCCTGCCGCGACGCCCTCGTGGCTCCTCGCCATGTCCTGCCACGCCTGTCCCTCGGCTTCGGTCTGCCGGAGCCTCAAGTCGAGCTCCGCGTTGCGCGCCAGCGCGCGCTCCAGGCCGGCCTCAGCCGCCCTCAGGCGCCGCGCCGCGGCGCGTTCCACCGCCGACAGCACGGCGCCGCGCGTCCTAGAGCACCGCCCGCAGCCGCTCAGTCTGCGCGCACAGACCAATCAAGTGAACGACGGTATATGAGACCTCGGAACAAGGAGCATCGACAAACAACCGTTCCCGCGATAGAAGTAGAACGGCGCCAAGGAAGCGGTCGGCGGCGCACCTCCATGCGGAGAAGCAGGTCGATCTCGACGCTCTGGCGGTAGAGGTGCGAGAGCGAGAGGAGGCTCTGCGACGCTGGGGCGGTGTTGCTGGCCGGCCGCCCACTGGTGGACGCGGAGCAAGAGCAGAGCGCCCTGCTCTGCACGTCCCCCGCGGGCGCTAACGCCTGCGACACCGGCATCGGGGCCAGCAGAGCGCGCTGGCCTTGCAGGTCCATCGTACGCACTAGGCGCAACCACGCCGCGGCGGATCGGACGGATCGATCACGTAGGCGAAAATTGGGCGGTGGGAGTGGGACGATCGACAAGCCGAGCCGAGGGGGCACGAGGCAATATATGGCAGGGCGATGGATTTTAGCGATCAGCTGGTGAGAACACACGTCGGCGTGGGGCGGGGCCATGAACGCCCCTACGTAGTGCGGGCAGCGGGATGCTCCATTTCTGATGCGGTGATGATGCCCGGCCTTTTCTGTTTCCTTTCTCTGTCCAGTGCTTCAATAATTTGATGAATCGCTTACCATCCATTATTATCCATACCCGCCGGGGCTTTATAGCTTTGTGACGCAGCAATGGTGAAGGGACGTGAGATTCGGCATGAGCTAGGGCCGCCTGCACTTTATTTTGGCTATGGCTACTCGCATGTGGGGAGTGCTTTATATATGCTCCCTGTTCTTTGCTTTCAAGACAAGTGAAAGTGTCTTATACACGGCTCAATTGTCGGCCTGTTCGGCTGAGGTGAAACGATCGTATACGATCGTAAATTTTCAGCCGAACAATATTTTTCTTTCACACAAACCAGCCAGCAGTACTTTTTCACGAACTAGCAACGATACGAACCAGCCAACCGAATAGACTGTGTATTCGTTCGGAGCAGTGTGTATTTGTATAGCGGTGGCGCAAGCTAGTAAAGGCTAAACCCAACCGAACACGACGCAATCGTGATCTCAAATGTTCGGAATCGTTTGGATCAAAGCACAGAGGATCATTATAACCCAAATGATATATAGAATTATTATACAGTAATCTAGATAGTGTTTGGATTTGGGAATTATTGTGATGGATATTCTTGGTTCAAGTGACGAGTCCTTGTAATCACAAAACAACCGGAAACTCCAATCGTGACCCGTCGCGCTTTGCCCGACGGTGCGACCCCGCGTCTTCCTCCCGTATCTCCCTCTCCCTCGTGTGTCTCCCTATCCCTCCCGCAACCACCTGGGACCGTGCCCGCAACCCACCGGAGTTGAAGAAGACGACAGCGTGGCTAGGGTTCCGGTGACGGCAGCGGCGGCGGTCTTCCCCAACTCCAGTGGGCTTAGAAGAAAAGGGGTTGGCCGAGGGGAGGCAGGGCGGTGGGGAAGGTGGCTGGTCGGTTAGGGGCCGGGCCAGGAAGGGGCAGGGGCGCCATGGCCGGAGCTCACCGTGACCGGAAGCCGCGGCTGCGCTAGGGTTTCATCGGAGCTCCACGGCCGTGGCCAGGGAGCTCCGGCGAAATCCTAGCACGGCCGTGGCGGGGGCGAGGTTGAGGAGGAGGGCGAGTTTGAGGACGACTGCCGGTGCTCAACGGCGGCGGGGGAGGGGGCGGCGGAGGTGGGGCGCGGCAGGAAGAAGAAGGTATGGGACGGCGCGTTGTGGCGAAGACGGGTTGCGCACGATCCGTCGCGGCTTATTCATGTCCCAAAACAACATGGTTGAGGTAGATTATGAGATTGTTATGATATGATCTTCTGATTACGATATCCACCTCATAATCTAACGGGCCCTATTTTGGATATCCCTATGACTATAATAATCAGATTATACTTTACACAGACTACAATTAAATTAGATCTAAATCATTCATATATACATCAGTCCTATTTCAGTTGAGTTCTTCAGTTGAACCATATCACGTTGGAGTATATTTTTACATATAGCATTGGTTTCTTGAGTTTGAGTTCGGTGCGTGTTGATGGCCCAATCAAACCGACCGTAGTTGTATCGTTTTTAATTTTGCCCGGTCTAGGCTTCATCTGCTTTTTAATATAATCGATAGCTCTCGTGCCTGATTCGTTTAAAAAAACATATAGCATTGGTTTCAAGTGAATCAAAACGGCGGAACTCTATGTGACATTCGAGTGTTTTGCATCAACCATCACTAGACAGCCATTCCCAAAAGCAGCAATTAAACTTTAGCTGGAAATTTGAAACCATTGTTGTCGGGGACCAATACTATGGTACCCGAAGCAGAGGAGCTAATGGTCATCAACATTGATTCATCTGAGCAATCAAGAGCGCGACTACAGCTCCAACCGACCCCTAGGAGCGCGGGCTCCTCCTCGCCCGACCTCTGGGGGCGGGCTCCGCCTCACCCGACCCCGAGGCCACGGGCTCCGCCTCGCTCGACCCCGAGGCCACGGGCTCCGCCTCTCCCGATCTCTGGGGGCGGGCTCCGCCTCGCCTGACCCCTTGGGAGCGGGCTTCATCTCGCCCGACCCCTCGGGTGCGGACTTCGTCTAGCCCGATCCCTCGGGTGCGGGCTCCGTCCAACGGAGACCCATACCGCCGCTGACCACTACAGGTCCAAGCGTATGGGCCTAAGTCAAAACTCTGACATCAGGAAAGGGATTGGCATGCCTCGATGTAACCCGTGGCCATGACTGGCCATAACTAAGGGTTCACATCAAGAACAACGTTGGACATGCTGGTGCTGTTCTGTCTAACCATCGTACGAACAATGACAGGCGTGTTAGTTCACCATGACGTCCGCCGGGGCACGATGGAACGCCATGACCGGCTGACGACGCCTGCGCATGGTGCTAGTGACGGATAGAGCCACGACGTGGAGCTATCCCTGTTGACATCTACAGGATCGGTGAGACCCGCATGAAGGAGAAGAAGGACCCGGCGATCCTGAAGGCCTCTTCTCTCTGTTGTTCTTCTCTTTTCCTCCGCTGTAACCCGTGCTTTTCCTTGGCCTATAAAAGGGAAAGCAGGGCGTCCCATGAAGGGGATCGACCGATTAACCCTTGGGGATCCAGCCCGATCCGATCAGATCGACCCATCGAGATTCGATCCAGATCAACACAAGAGCACTACACGAACACACGGCTGAGCAGCAATCGAGCTCTCAGCACCCACTCACTCCTTCCACCAGAGACTTGGAATCCTTTCCCTCACTCACCCATTTGAAACCCCTTACTACAAACTTTCGGTGCTAGTAACATGAGCAGCAGCGATGAATTGAACGCAGAGACTTTCTGCCCGAACCAGTATAAACCTCGTGTTCTCTAAGGACACCATCCGAGCCAGACGCGCAAAGAAAAATTTACTCGTCCATGGTAACTCGAAACACCGATAGTTGGCGCGTCAGGTAGGGGCCCTTTTCCGCGTCTCGACGTCCACATCTGGTCTCGGATGGCAAGTCACGCGTCAGCTGGGTCCCGGGTGCACACGTGCGTTTTGAGAACCTGGACTTCATCATCACAATGGAGAGAGAGTTGGCGCACGCTCCCACCGTCGTTCAACCTCTCCACTCCGCCAGCCTCGATGCGATCATCGAGGTGCTTGAGGAGCTACATCTGCACGCACCGGAGGCCTGCGCCCCCGAGAGCGACCAGCTCCTCGGCTTTGATTATGGGAGGCTAGAGCGCCAGCTCGGCGCCTTCCTGGGATGCCGACCGTCCCGGGAGGACCTGCGCCACCTCACCTTCTTGTTCGCCAATGTCATGACGCAGCTTGCCGGAGGAGAGCCGCTCTCCCTAGAATACCTCATCCGGAGCACCCCAACAGCGCTCCCATCCGGTCTTCGCAACGCCGTAGAGACTGTTGGCCACCTTGTGGTGCAACGCATGCCTCCATCCCCCACGAACGACGAGTTCGTGGGGATGACCAAATATGTCGCGGAATCTTTCTTTGACCTCCTCACAGCAGAATCGGAGTCGCCCTCCGACTCTGACCCCAGCAGGGGGAGCGGTCACCCTTCTCGTGAATGTTTCATGGCAGGTACCCCCGAGTGATACGTCAAAAGCATCCACGAGGGAGAGGCTACTCTAATGAATGACCTCGACGACGAGGTCGAGGGGATGCAGGGGCCCCACCTCGCCTGCGGGTAGAGCAGCTGAAGGCCCAGCACCAAGAGCTCAAGGAAGCATGACTCCAGCTCAAGCAGGAACGCGCGGAGCTTGAGCGAGAGATCGAGCGCCATGAAGACAGTGGGCGTGCGCGCACCGTGGCCCGCGACGTGAACCGGAGGATCATCGAGGATGATGAAGCCCTCCCACACTTCACCCGGGCAAACCAGAACATCGCTGCTACTGTGGCCTTGCTCCGAGAGCTTTCGGGGCCCACGACGCTCGAGCATCGTTGGGCCCGTCATGAGATTCGCACACTACTCGAGCGTGTGGCGACACAGCAGGTCGAGAGCTCGCTGTCCCAACGACGTGAGCTCGATGCCAGCCTGCGCGTGCCCTTAGAGCGACCCGACAAGGATGTATTAGTCCACCAGGTGCAGCAAGGTGGTAGGCCACGCACCACGGTCCCGGTGCATGAGCGTCTCGGTCTCCACCATGACTCGCGCGACACCCTCGACGCCCGCAGGCGTACCCATGGCGATGCGAGGGAGGGGGCTAGCTGCGGCTACCACCCATGTTGTGGCGGATGCTACGACAGCGGCGAGGACCGAAGCCCAAGCCCTGACCTGTCGGGACCTCAGGCCTTCGGCCAACACATTCTCAACATCGCCTTCCCACCACAGTACCGATCGCCGACCAACATCCCAAAATACTCTAGTGAAACGAACCCCGAACTATGGCTCGAGGATTATCGGCTTGCTTGCCAAGCCGGTGGAGCGGATAATGACGATTTCATTATCCACAACCTTCCATTGTTCCTGGTCGATTCGGCACGAACATGGTTGGAACACCTTTCGCCCAACAGAATCCAAAGTTGGGCGGACCTGAAAGAGATCTTCGTGGGAAACTTCCAGGGCACATACTTGCGTCCTGGAAACCCCTGGGATCTCAAAAACTATCGATAGAAGTCTAGAAAAACTCTTCGTGGGTACATCCGGCGCTTCTCTTGGCAGTACAATGAGCTGCCCAACATCACCAACGCCGACGTCATAGGAGCTTTCCTGTCTGGGACCACCTACGAGTCCCTAGTTCATAAGCTGGGACGTAAGGGCCTGCAAACCACCAAGGAGCACCTCGACATCACCACTAGCCACGCCTTGAGCGAGGAG